ATACGTTTATATCGCCTGGCCTTCCTTCTTTGCTCAGACCTGGCCACTTCACAATTCAATTTCTGTAAATTCCTGAATTACAAGAAATCATTTCTGATCTGATCTCAGTTTATGTACGTTTTCGAAAATTCAGATTACTAGTACGTATACGAATATATTTTCTGGCTGTTATTCTGTGAACATTTATGAAATTATGTTGTAATTAAAGTGCTGGTTAAAAAAATATGCTTGTCTTTTCTATGTTTCTTTACACCATTATTTTTACACGATATCATAATATTTAGATCCTTGAAAGTTCATCGTTTTCACTGCACTGCTTTTAGAAAAAGAAAATAGTAATTTTTGTCTCTCAATTATCAAAGTTCGATTCCCATGTGTGGAGGATTTTTATCGAGTACATAGGTCTTTCTGCTTCTAAGTTGTATTCCTCTCAGCCCAGGTTGGCCGTCACAGGCAGGGTAGTAGCCCGCCTCCTTAAGTATGTCGAGGGAGACGTAAAATCGCTTACATTACGTACATTACCATCATCATTGTCATTTTCAACTACATGTACTCTGTAACCTTTACTGTCAGAATTTAACTATATCCAGTCTGATCACTGTTGCAGTCCTGTAACAAAGGATGAATTACCTTGCCCGTCTTAGGTTTGGCTTCTTTCAGGCAACGTGAAGACACGACATCCGTGATCACACTCACACACGCGCACGCACACATACACACACACACACACACACACACACACATATATATGTATACATGTATATATATTATATATTCGGCAGAGTTAGGCCTAGGTGAAGTTGTGGTAGAGAGTGGACCATGGCAGAGTTTAAAAAACAGGGAGGTTGTTAGTGGAGGAAAAACGGCTAATCCTAACTGAGGTAGATAGGAAAATCAGTGTCAGAAACCCAGGTGTGCAAAAAGTTAATTAACAGAACTAAGAACCAATTTTGACATGGTTGTGTGGCTAAAGGGGCATAATTCAAGTAAATTTTGAGCAAATTGGCAAACATTGCATTATCTTCCTTGATATATCCTGAAACGTATAATTGGAAAGATCTCCACATCCTGCTGATTTTGCTATAATAAGACTATAGAAATGAAATGTAAATTAACTGCTAGTTAAATGTTAAAAGTTATCTATATTGGTATCCTGTTCTAATTAAACAGCTCCCACTTCGTGTTTGAGTCTGTGTCTGTCTTTGTGTCCGTCTATGTCCCGTCACCCCCTCCCCCCATTACCTGTCCCCCACAATGTCTCCAACAATCGTCGCTCCATATTTTACTCTTTGTCTATGTGCCCCCCCCCTCCCCAC